AAGGTGTATATAGTCTTTATGTAGTTTATTATATATATGTATAGTTTATAACTAAACTATAAACCACTGCCTAAGTCCTAGGTAAATCCCTGACACATACGTGCATTGGACAGACCCAAACCAACATAACAAAGGCTTTGAAAACTGAACTGATACTGGAACTTCTTCCCACAAAGAGTAAGGCAGACAGAACTGGTTCAATCTAATCAGGACGATTACCTGCTTTAAATTTAAAAAAAAGTCTCCAGGGGCACCGGGGTGGCTCAGTTGGTTAAGCATCTGACTCTTGATTTCACTCAAATTGTGAGTTCAAGGCTTGCCTTGGCTGGTGCTGGGCATGTAACCTGTTTAAGATTCTCTGTCTCCCTCTCCCTCTGCCCCTCCCCACCCCCCTCAAAAAAAAGAAAAAGTGCAGAAGACCCAACTAAGGGAGGCCCAGACTCCCAACCCACAGAAACAGGAAAGGATAGGGTGAAGGGTTGGGGGGGGGGGGGCGGAGAATATGAATATCTGTATACAAATATCTATCACTGGAGATGCCAATCACTGAGAAGGTTTTTTTAAAAAGGCTTCAGAAATAAACATGGGTTTGGATTCCAACTTCATTTACTAGTTGTGTTTCTGACTTAACTTTAGTCATATGTGAAAACTACTTAGGTAGTGATTATATGAATCATCTCGTTTTTATTTCTCCCAATAATCTTACAAGGAAAGGATGATTATTTTCCTTGTTTTATGACGATTCACATAATCATGGCACTTCACACAGTGCCTATCACAGAGTTAAGTATACAGTCACCCAGGCTCTAGTTACTTGCAATAGTCCTTTCCTGTTTCTAAGAATGACAGTTTTCCTCTAGGAAGAAGGGAGGGTTGCTTCCTCCTTCCCTAATGTTATGCTTATTCATTCATTTATCTATTCTACCAATATCCGTCAGCTTCCACTTTGTGCCAGGCCCTAGGCCAGAAGACTAATTCAAGGACTTAGAAAAAAATGAACCAATTCCTTAAAAGAAATTACCAAAATTCACTCAAGAAAAAATAGATAACCTGAATTATCCTACATCTATTAAAGAAATTGAATTCATAATTAAAAACCTTCAGTAAAGAAATCTTCAGGCCCATATGGCTCATTGGGTGAATTCTACCAAGTATTGAAGTAAGAAAAAAATACCAATTCTACACATATTTTCCAGACCACAGAAGAAGAAGGAATGTTTCCCACCTCATTTTTTGATGGCAGCATTACATTAATACCAAAACTAGACAAAAGGAAACTTTCTCAGTCTGATAAATCATCTTTTTAAAACCTACAGCCAACATTATACTTATTAGTGAAAGATGAAATGTTTGTCCTTTAAAACCGGAAGCAAGGAATGCCTGGGTGGCTCAGTCGGTTAAGTGTCTGCCTTCCGTTCAGGTCATGATCCCAGGGTCCTGGGATCGAGTCCCTCATCGAGCTCCCTGCTCAATGGGGAGTCTGCCTCTCCCCCTGCTTGTGCTCGCTATCTCTCTTTCTCTCTGATAAATAAATAAAATCTTTTAAAAAAAAAGAAAATTACAAGGAATCTAAAAAAAAAGCTTTTAGAAATGAATAAAAGTCTAGCAAATGGAATCTTAGAATTACAAGATCAATATATAAAAAGTGTATTTCTGTATATTACCAATAAATAATTGGAATCCAAAATGTTAAAAACTACCATTTATAATAGCACCAAAAAGTTAAATCGTTAGGTATTAATCTAACAAAATATGTGTAGGATCTGTATGCTGAAAATTATAAAGAACTATAAAAGAAATTTTAAAAAAACCTAAATAACTGGAAGGATATATTATTGATGAATTGGAAGATAATATTGTCAAGATGTCAGTTCTCCCTGAACTCCTCTAAAGCTTCAGCAAAATCCAAATCAAAACTCTGGAGGATTTTTCTATAAGTACCATGCTGATTCTAAAACTTACACTGAAAGGCAGAGAAACTAGATTGGTCCAAACAATTTTGACAAGAAGAACAAAGTTGGATTTATATTTTCTGATTTCAAGAACTACTATAAAGCTACAGTAATCAAGATAGCATGGTATTGGCAAAAGGGTAAGAACAGATATCAATGGAAATCGATCCACAAAAATACGGTCAATTGATTATTTTTTTTCTAAGATTTTATTTATTTATTTTGAGAGAGCACATGAGAGGGGGGAGGGTCAGATGGAGAAGCAGACTCCCTGCTGAGCAGGGATCCCGATGCGGAACTCAATCCTGGGACTCCAGGATCATGACCTGAGCCGAAGGCAGTCACTTAACCAACTGAGCCACCCAGGCGCCCCAAAGGCTATTTAAATGAAGAAAAGATTATCTTTTTTTAACTAACGGTGCTCAAACAATTATATACCTAAATGCAAATAAAAATGAATTCTGCCCTTAAAATTAATTCCAAGTAGGTCATAGACCTAATGTAAAACATAAAACTATGACACTTATAGAAGAAAACCAGGGAGAAAAATCTTTGTGATCTTAGGTTAGGCAAAGAGTTCTCAGATACAACACCAAAAGTACAATCTATATACAGAAGCAAAAATTGATAATTTTTACTTCATTAAAATTTAAAACTTAAGCTTTGCAAAAGATACTATTAAGAGAATGAAAAAAATATTTGCAAATTATATCTGACAATATCTGAATGTGCACTGAATTATCAAATTTCAATCATAAAAAAACAAAAAACAAACAAAAATGTGGGCAGAAGGTTTAAACAGATATTTTACCAAATTATATGAATGTCAAAGAGCACATGAAAAAATGTTCAACATAATTAATCTTGAGGGAAATGCATATTAAAACCACAGAGATACCATTAGAGTAACTTTTTTAAAAACGTGACAATACCAATGGGGTGTGGCTGGCTCAGTTGGTAGAGCCTGCAACTCTTGATCTCAGGGTCATGAGTTCAAGCCCCATGTGTGGTGTAGAGTTTACTGAAAATTAAAGGAAAAAAAATTTAATGACAATACCAAGTGCTGATGAGGATGCAACTACAACTCCCCAGCATCAATGGCAGATGTGCAGAAAGGTAGAACGGCTCGTGAAGAGAGTTTGGCAGTTTCTTATAAAGTTAGATGGATTCTTTCCATATAACCCAATATCTCATTCCTAGATATTTTACCCAAGTGAAATGAAGACATGTTTACACAAAATCTGCATATGAATATTAATATAGTTCAGTAAGTAATTGCTAAAAACTGGAAACAACCCTAATACAGTTTAATTGTTGGATGGATAAACAAACTAGTTCTTCCATACCGTGAAATACTATTCAGCAATAAAAAAAGAACAAGCTAGGGGCGCCTGGGTGACTCAGTCGGTTAAGTGGCTGCCTTCTGCTCAGGTCATGATCCCAGGGTCCTGGGATCGAGCCCCATGTCAGGCTCAATAGAGCGTCTGCTTCTCCCACTTCCTCTGCCTGCCTCTCTGCCTACTTGTGCTCTCTCTCTCTCTGTCAAATAAATAAAATCTTTGAAAAAAAAAAAGCTAGTAATACACATATTTGTGTGAATCTAGACATGATGAATGAAAGTAATCAGCCTCAAAAGTTTTCAATACTGTGATTCCATTTATATGACATTTTGGAAAATGCAAAACTATAGAAATGGAAAACATCAGTAGTTGCCAGGGATTAGGGGTGAGAAGAGGGGTTGACTACAAAGAAAGAACATTAGGGCATTTTTTTGAGGTAATGGAACTTTCTGAATCTTGATTCTGGTGGTGGTTGTCAAAACTCATTGGACTGTATACCAAGAAAAGAGTGAGTTTTATTGCATGTAAGTTAAATTTTTTAAAAAAGAAGTATAGCCCTTGTACATAAGACACATCACACTTAGATTTATTCAATTCACAGTTTCTCCTATACTAAAAGCTCAAACAGGGCCATACTTGATCCTTAACACTAAGAATTTCTAGCCCAAGGACTTGAGGTTTCCTTCTCCTTTTAACGGCTCTGAGATCTCATGTGAGAGAGCCTGAGCTAACTCCTCAAGTATTAGAGAATAAGTGAGGAGAGTGGTTCAGCCAGCTCCAGCTGGCCACCAGCGCCAGATGTGTGAATGAGGCCAACTTGAAACATACAGCCCCAGTCAGGCCATCAGCTGGTTAGTCGTGTAAGTGACAGCAAGTGAGACTAGCAGAACTGCCCAACTGAATCCAATCCAAATTGCCAATGCACAGAATCGTGAGCAAATAAAATAGTTGTTGATTTAACTACCATGTTTTGGGGTTGTTTGTTACACAGCATTAGATAACTGACATGAAGCAAATTATATCAGATTCACCATCACCCTAAACATTTTTTTTTAATTTTAGAGGTGTTACAGGAAATCCTTTGGTCTCTGGAAAAAAAAAATTTATATCAATAGTTACTTCTTATATTAATAATCATATTAAGTAATAGTTAATAGATTTCTATAAATGGTGTTTTCCTGCATTAAGCCTGTGTAATGTATTATTCTGGCTATATCTATAGTAATGTCTTCATCCCTTGTAGTTATATTTTAAGAGAGATGTTCAGAAATTAGTATATAGAAAAGGTCAAAGATGTGATAAGAGGGCTGAAGGAACCAATAACTTACAGAGGACAGAGACTAAAGCGGGGGGACAGGGGAGGCATTGTGGCTGCTTTTATATATTGGATGGGCTTTTTAAAACTCTAGTTGTTCCAAAGCCAGAAATGGATTAATATATAGAAGTTAAAGGAAGAAATATTTCAGACTCACTATTAAGGAAGAATTCTCTAAGATGAGCACTGATAGAAGTGAAAAACCAAAAACCAGTGAGGCGACCATCATTAGGAATTTTCAAACAAGCTGATTGGTCACATCTTAGAGATGTCTTCTGTACTCAGTGTGCAGGTGATTCCTGTATAGAGTGAGATACTGTACTAGACAATTTCCCTGAAGTTCCTTCAGACTGAGTTTCTTTATTTGGCATCACAAGATTCATAACTATGTTTTCAACCTTGGACGTTTAAAGTTGCTGGCTTTTTAAACTTAGTCAGACTTTTCAGATATGCCCTGATGCAGGTAGCCAAACAAAGTTGTTTTACCTCATAATCTGTAGGAATGGGGACTTATTTTGTTATCTTACACTTAGACTTCTGACTTTATGATAGAATAAGCCTCTCTCTCAAGTCATCTACTGCCTAATGGCCAATTCCTATAGTCTCTCTTTAATCTTCATCCATTTTAATCTGACTAGAGCATCTGATACTGTTGACAGATCATACTTTTAAAACCCCTGTTTGGTTTCCATGACTCTATACGAGTATGGTTTTCATCTTCTCTGAACTTGTTTGACAAAGCCAAGTAGAGGGGTGCCTGGATGGCTCAATCAGTTAAGTGTCTGCCTTCAGCTCAGGTCATGATCCCAAGGTCCTGGGATCGAGCCCCACATCGGGCTCCCTGTTCAGAGGGAAGCCTGCTTCTCCCTCTCCCTCTGCCTGCCACTCCCCATACTTGTGCTCTCTCTCTCTCTCTCTCTCTCTCTCTCTCTCATTCTCTGTCAAATAAATAAAAAATCTTAAAAAAAAAAAGCCCAAGTAGAATGATGATGAAATTAGTAGTCACAATACATGCCTTCCGGCTTTTCTTTCTCTAGAATGGACCAGTACTCATCCACCAGAATATATTGGTACTCCCTTATTTTCACAGGGTTAGTGACCAAATGACTTACAAATAGATAAACGTAAAAGCTGAACTACATTCCTACCTGGTTGGTATTACAAATCATATATGGGGGGCGGGGGGAGGGGTTGTTGTTTTGTTTTGTTTTCCTTAATACAGCAATGAAGTAAAGAACATACCAAGGGTTTCATCAGTTGAATATATAAATGGTCGTAAATTTCCTCGAGTCTCCTTCATGAAATAATCAATGACACTGAAAAGGTTTGGGAGTGTTACCTGTACAAAGATAGTGAGAGAAGGGTCAGTGTCATCCATGTGAAGAGAGAGTAAAAGAAAGCTCAGGGGAAATTTTATGATTACTGTGAATTTCCTGATCTCTAGTAAAACATGTCAGTACTTCACTTCAATGAGGTACTGAATGGCCAATGTTTCCTACCCATGCATTTTTTTTCTCTTTTATAATATCTAATTCCCTGTTGAGAAATTTCCCCCTCCCCATGGGATACATTTTGGTGGACAGTAATTAGGTACTCTGCTCTTCCCTAGTTATTGTATGAGAATGTGACTCAGGTTACGCCAGAAAATTCTCCCTTCCTGAAGTTTGAACTTGAGTAGAGGAACAAGGAAGGATAGCAGATTCCTGATCAGATGGTTCTTACTACAGTTGACCCTTGAACAACAGGGTTTAGGGATGCCAGCCCCCATGCACTCAAAAATCCATGTTACAACTTTTGACTCCTCCCCAAATGAAACACTAATAGCCTACTGTTGACCAGAAGCCTTACCGATAACATAATTAGTTGATTAACACATACTTAGTATGTTCTACATATTATATACTATATTCTTACAATAAAGTAAGCCAGAGAAAAGGAAATGTTATTAAGAAAAATACATTTAGCAGCACTGTTCTGTATTTATCAAAAAAAAAAATCCACATGTAAGTGGACCCATGCAGTTCCAACCCATGTTGTTCAAGGGTCAACTGTTCCTAGTTCCTGGAGGTGCTCCAGCTTTCCAGTCATTTTATGTGCTTCCTATGTTCTTAAATCTGTCTTTGCTTAAGTTAGTTATTTGGTCTCTTTTGTTTGAAACCAAAGAACCCTTAAAGCCAGAGAATTTAGCATTTTAATATCTCCCTTTAACAGGATAATTTACTTGGCCAAGAGTAGCTGAAATGGGTTGCCACCCCCAAACCATATTTTTATACAAGTAAAATCAGGTTAAACCTGAATATCCCTGGAATTCATAAAATGGCAAGCTGGTTGAAGGGTAGGGTAGGGGAGCGTGAAAGGTGAAAGAACAATCCAGGCTGTTAGCTTTCCTTACATTGGGGACTATTCGGGCTAATTACAGATAAATGAGCCCCAGTTTACTAGTCACAGAGGCACATTCTTCTTCCCTGACCTTTGCTTCCAGTCAGTTGGTTATTTAGGTTATCCTTCAGCAATCTAGTTGTTTGTTTCCTTCATTAGAATTTTTGAAAAAGCCCCTGCAGGCATGGACGTGAGAGCTGAGAAGCTCTGGGAAGCGTTTATGGCAAAGATGAAAGTGGGGTGTGTGAGTCAGCAGCTTCCCTCTTCTTGCAAAGGTCACTACTGCATTCTAAGAAGTGGGGTCTAAACCTAAAAACTTCAGGGACTCCTGCGTGGCTCAGTTGGTTGAGTGTCTGCCTTCAGCTCAGGTCATGATCCCAGGGTCCTGGGATGAGTCCCATATCAGTCTCCTTGCTCAGCAGGGAGCCTGCTTTCTCCCTCTGCCTGCCACTCCCCACCTGCTTGTGTGCTCTCGCTCTCTCTGTCCCTCTCTCTGACAAATAAAATCTTTAAAAAAATAAACATAAAAATTCAACCATACTGCCCCTTTCTCTATTTGATCAACACAGTGGGCTTGGAGAGTCAGAGGCACTAAGAGCTCAATTTTAGAGATGTTAAAATAAATATCTTAAGACTCATCAGTTCCATTTATGTGATATCACTTCCCTGGTCCAATCTTCCCACCACTGCAGCTTAAGATCACACAGCTATATTCCCTTTTTCTGGCACCTGGACCATAGCTCACATCACTACATTGTCATTGGTTGAGATGAGTGTAAATACCAGTTTTCCTTGTATAATAGGCATTCTCTCAGGGTAATGGTGAAGATTAAGTGATATATGTAAGGTACTTAGCTCTCTGCCTAATACAGTGACCTAGTGATTATATTGTATCACTAGCCCCATGGTAAGTTGACTGGGATGGGAGAGGGGTTGCACCAGGAAGAAACCATTTCTTCATGATTATATTGCTATTATGAGGGGGATTTCTGAACTTCTGCATGACAGGTATTAGAGGACTAGGCATTCACATATTTTTTTTTCCTCATTAGAAATAAGCACATTGTGGGGCGCCTGGGTGGCTCAGTCGTTAAGCGTCCGCCTTCAGCTCAGGTCATGATCCCAGGGTCCTGGAATCAAGCCCCGCATCAGGCTCCCTGCTCGGCGGGAGGCCTGCTTCTCCCTCTCCCACTCCCCCTGCTTGTGCTCCCTCTCTCGCAGTCTCTCTCTCTGTCAAATAAATAAATAAAATCTTTAAAAAAAAAAAAAAGAAAGAAGCACACTGAAATATGTATCATTGGTGGATGTAAAACAGATGATTAGGAAAAAAATCTTCCCTCACTGAAATAATCGTATTAATAAGGATTACAGAGAAACAAAAGTAGAATTGTTAGCAGATTATCTTCTACTAGAAGTGCCTCCTCATCCACCAGCTCTTTTATCTCGCTTCTCACCCTGGATATCTGCCACTTTCGGGTCTCCTTCACCTGGCTGTTTTTCACCAGCACTATGTTCCTAGGCAAGGGGTCTACTTTTCCACCTTTCTTTCAATTCTGTAAGGTAGATTTGGGAAAAAGCAGGAGAAAATTCATCAAAAACAGGAAATAGCTACTTACAGGTTTTTCCAGTTCAATAGTGTAGTTTTTTCCTACACTTATCACTTTGTAGTGCTTGATTCTTGGCATACTAAAATGAAAAAAAAAAAAAAAAAAAGGTTAATCTTCATTTGAATATACTATTGGATCAAATCAAACTAAAGTGAATATAAAATATCTCCCCTACAGTAAAACCTATGTTCCCATTCCAGTAGTTAGGCAAAAAAAAAAAAAAAGGTGGGGGGGAATGGTGGTTTTCTTTTATTTACCCGGTTCTCTATGTCTGTTTCTGGAGGGGTTATACATTAGGGATATAGGAAACTGAGTCATTGAGTGGGTGATTGGATAACAGGAAAAAATGAATCAAGAACTGAAAATCTTTCAGGCAGAAATTATTTTTTAATGCCAGTAATTTACAAAGCAGGCAACATTATAAAATCCTGTGTAGGTACATAGAAATCAGATTTTTGTTCTCTGGATTAAAAGGGAAGTAGAATACTTTCTACTCTACCTCATCACTATTCCTATCAGAAATCCCTGAACGGCTTTTCTTCCCGCTAGTTCATTGCCCACCTTGGATATCTGCTAACTTCACGGCTGACTTAGAGGTAATAGAAAATGCTCAGTGAGAATGTAAACACAGTAGATGAACCGTAATGTCTTCCTCTTCTATGGTCACATAGCGCTCTAAATTATTACCACCCTAAACACACGGTATTTTATTGACTAGAATTGCGTAAGAACAAGAAGCACGATCTATTCACCTTTGTCTTCCAGCATTAGGCACACAATATTTATGAAACTGAATTTTTAAAATATTACAAGCCCATCTTATAGTGCTATTTGCTACAATTAATTTATACTGAGAGCAGAAGTCAGTAGGTTTGCCTTGAATTCCTTTGATTCATGTGACAACAGTGTCTAATGTTGAAAAGTTAAAAGCATTTATTACACTGCCATTTGCTTGAAAGAGAAACTAATTCAACATCTGTCCAATTTATAGAAGCAGTCTAAAGCTATCAGGTTAAGTTTGTTGGCAGGGCCTTCCACCTTCTTTTTTATCACCCGTCTCTCCATTTCCAGATCCCATTCCTTTAGGACTGAACTACACTTCTTTTCAAGGGACTTTTTCCTCATCTACCACTCTATCCCAATATTCTCTCAATTGAGTATCATTGGAAAACTGCTAATAATTTTATTCCAGTGGCTTATTCTAGAACTTTACTTTTAAAACATGGGATAAAGCCTAACTAACTCTCTCCCCTCCTAAAAAAAAATAAAAAATAAAAAGTATTCTTTATTGCTGATCTTCCAGGAATCACTAGCAGACTGGTGAAGGAGACATTTTTGGACAAAGGTCTTACAAGTACCTTCTTTTGGGGTGGTTGGCTCTGGCTTTATTTTTATCCCTACATGAAAAGACTTTTATAATCATATAGCTACTTTTGAAAACTCACCCATTCCAATTAGAATTCCTGTATTCCTACGAAATAAATGATTATTATTCCTTGGAAGACTGATAGAAAACTTGAAGGGCATGATCTTTATAACCAGAAAGATTGAGGTTCAAATTCTGGTTCTACGTGTAAGTTCTCAGCCTTCATTTCTTCATCTATAAAATGGAGATGGGGGCGCCTGGGTGGCTCAGTTGGTTAAGCGACTGCCTTTGGCTCAGGTCATGATCCCGGAGTCCTGGGATCGAGTCCCGCATCAGGCTCCCTGCTCAGCGAGGAGCCTGCTTCTCCCTCTGACCCTCCCCCCTCTCATGTACTCTCTCTCTCTCTCTCATTCTCGCTCTCTCAAATAAATAAATCTTTAAAAAAAAAAAATGGAGATGGTAATCCCATTCCTCATAGGGTTGTTGTGAATTAATGTCTGGAAAGTCCTTAATAACAGTGTCTTGCACATTTAGACACATAGCAAATTATAACTGTTTTTACTACGTTTTAAGTATATCATTTTAACTTAGTCATTTCTGCAAGGCTCAGCTGCTTCATTTGTAAAACATGGAAAAAACAGTCTCAGTTTTTACTGTGCCTGAAGGAAATGCTTGTCAAGCACCCAACACAGCACTCACAAATGGTACCCTGGAAGGGGTGACAGTGATTGTTGTTAGTAACAGCTGTTATATAATCATCATCATTATTCATGACAAAGCTGTGGGAGGAAAAGCAGCAAAGATTAACAGAGTCTCTTGGAACTTTTGACTAAAAGGACTAAGTTCTGAAGCAGAAAGTAAGGTAGAAAAAAAAAATTCCATTGAAGTCGCTTAGGCTTTGAATCTCATGTTACACCTTTGTTTTCCTTTCATATTTTGTTTTGTTTTTCCCAAGAAATAAAGATAGAGGAAAAAATGAGGTTGATAAAATTTGCTATATTGAGGTTTCCTGATTATGACCTCAAAAAAGAAGTAACCTGTCTTTTAACAAGTGTGTGGCCTTAAATGTGATGTAAATACTTGTTTTTAGCTTCTGACCCACAGTTTTGCAAAGGAATTAATTTGGGGTCAATATTTTCTACTGTTTCCTTGACTAATGGCTTTCCAGAGTGTATATACTACTAGCTTGCCATGTAGTCATAACAGCTTTTTTTTATTTGAAGATTTTATTTATTTATTTATTTGACAGAGAGAGAGACAACAGGAGAGGGAACACAAGCAGGGGGATTGGGAGAGAGAGAAGCAGGCTTCCTGCTGAAGCAGAGAGCCCGATGTGGCGCTCGATCCCAGGGTCCTGGGATCATGACCTGAGCTGAAGGCAGACGCTTAACGACTGAGCCACCCAGGCACCCCTAGTCGTAACAACTTTAAGAAAACAAAGCCAAACCACTAAGTTTGTTGTAGGAATAGCTCTGTCTTAGGAATTCACACACCACTGGGTTGGGTAAAGTGGGATATTTTACATCGAGAGAGGGTCACCTGGTAATTGGGCACTGAATGACTTTTGCTTCTTTCCAAGAACTACTATCTTCCCTCCTACAGCTGATTTGTTAACTGATGGAGATAATTTTACTTTCAAGCACTGCTTTGTAAACTAGCCTGTCCTTTTCAGCTAGTATTTTGCCAGACCCACATAAACTTTCATGGCTGCACATTTCTCCTACAACCTGTAAGAGAATGAATTGGTTCTGTGGGTTGTTATCCACCTGTGTTCAGGTGCTTCCTAATCGTCTAGATTTTTTGCCAGTCTTTACATTAAGCACTACAGTCTAACAAGCTAACATTCTCCTACTCTCTACAACAGCTACCCTTTCTGTTAAACAGAAGATATGAAATCTAGGCCTTCTAAAAGTTCTATTTTGAGGCATTAGACAACACATATAACAATCCCGAACATCATAGATATATCTGGCTCATAAAGAAAATTGGTGCAACGACAGTTAAAATTTTTCTTATCCATTTCCAACCATAAACTATTCCCCAGAGCCTAAATGAGCATATTGCCGCTCTAGCATTAGAACGTGCTAGTTTGACCATTCCCCTCACTCTGTTTTCTAAATATGCACTTTTGGGGGGAGGAGGATTAGTTTTATGAAATGTTATGTTTTTAGGACCACCAGCTGTACAAAAGCATGAATTTCTATGTGAATTCAAACTGGAAGTGATTTTACTAAAATTAGAATTATAGAAGTTTGATATGAATTCCTTTGCCAGACTCTTAGGAGTTTAAATATAGCTTAAATACAGTAGAGATATAAGTAAAAACTATGATGTTCAATTCATATTATAAGTATAGAAGCTCATTGTGTTCGGTCACAAACCACATCTTCAGAAAACACTGTTATTTCTGATAGCTCACGTTTACAGAAAATACAGCACAAAAGCTGGGCTAATTTAGACCATCTTAAAAAGATCAGGTTGCTCTTGTGCAGAAAATAATGTGGTCTGTAAAGAGCCATTAGGTCTCGGGGACTTTGTTCATTTCATTCAGAATAATAATGCAGGGTTCACATGCTAATGGGTCAAACACTGAATCCAACCAAGAAAAGAATAAAATGAAGGAAAAAAAGCTAATCACTCTCTTGTGTGATTTAGCTTTCCAGCAGTTAAATTTCTTTTTTTTTTTTTTTTTTAAGATTTTATTTATTTGACAGAGACACAGCGAGAGAGAGAACACAAGCAGGGGGAGTGGGAGAGGGAGAAGCAGGCCTCTGCTGAGCAGGGAGCCCAATGCGGGGCTCGATCCCAGGACCCTGGGATCATGACCTGAGCCGAAGGCAGACGCCCAACGACTGAGCCACCCAGGTGCCCCTAAATTTCTTTTTAAAACAAAATCTGAGAAATAGATTTTAATTCAGTTTTATGTGCTCTTAATTTTTAAAGGCATACTCAATGCAATTTCCTAAATGCTGAAAAAGGACAAGCTCCTTGACCAGGATGTACTCAACAGAAAAATTCACTTTTCTCCCAGGGCTTCTTCTAAGCTCACTTATATGTAACGGCAGTCACAATTTTTATTTCTTTTGGATTTGTTTCAAAAGAGCTAATTGAATTATAAATCAGATAAATTAAAATTGAGTAATCTGTGATATTCTACCATATTAGTTGAAAATGCATTAACTCCAAATGTCAGCCCTTAAAATAGAAAATAATGAAACAACAAGAAGGTTAAGTTGACATAGGTATTCATTGTGGAAAATCACACACACACACTCACACACACAGCTCTCTCCCTTCACACACAGAACCAGGACCTGATCTACCTCTAACATTCTTGCCATCCATTCAGGGCACATGGCTGGTGTCTAAAGACAAATTTCTGTTTATATGGAGTAATTGGCAAGTGATGAAGCTTGTTGGACCATGGCTCATTGTAATTATTTTATTTTTACTGCCTTTACTCACTGTCAGTGTCTTCATATTTAATATATTTAGAATTATTGATATTTATAGTGGACTGACTAGTAAACAGATGCATTGATAGATATGTTTCAGCTAAAATAATTAATGGAATATTATCCCCAGAAAGAATAGCAAATTCAAGACTCAAAGTTCTGCTTATGCTTTTATATGAAAGATAATTACTTATTGAACATTTTCATTTAGGACAAAACCTGTATTTTAATTTCATTATCATTTGTCAAAGTGTTAACTAACCTGGAGTGCTTATTTATTGAAATGCAAGATTTCATAGACTCAGAGCTGGAGTGAACCTTAGCAGATCCAACCACCTTAGCTACATGGAAAAATCAACTTTTGCATGTAAGTATTACTGACTTTATCAAAGGTAAGCCATTTTACCAGAAAGAAATTCTTAACCTTGACAAGAGGCTCCAAGGGCTCCTTTATATAGAGTCAGATTATGTCACTTCTTCATGCATCACAGTCCAGTGGCCTCTCATGTCATTCAGAGTATATAACCTTGTCCCTTAGTGACCTGTAGGGCTCAGAGTGATCAGTCCCTCCCCCCACCTCTGGAATCTCACTTAACACTGTTTGCTTGCTCACTGTATTGCAATCACAGAGGGCTCTTTTTTGTTTTGAACAAACTGAGCCTTCTCCTGCCTCTGGGAATATGCACTTACTGCCTGGAACACTCTTGTCCTAGATATTGGCCTGGTTTGTCCCCTCACTTCCTTCAGGGCACTGCTTAAATGTTAGCTAATGAAGTAGGCCTTCCCTGACCACTCTATATTAAAATAACAGAATCAGAAAATGTTTCTCTGAACATCATCTCTGAGTGTTCCCATCTCCCTCATCCTATTTACTTTTGTCCATAGACCTTAACTACTATATATATGATTTTTTAGTTATGTATTTATTTACAGTCCATGTTGCCTTACAAGAATGTGAACTCCTTAAACCAGGGATGTTGTTTTGTTCAATAAAGATATGTGAAACGAATGAATGAATAAGAAAACTATACCCAGGATCAAAGTAATTTGCCCATTCTTCTTTTTGCCTATTGCAAATATTAGCCTTGGCTCTGCTTCTGAAACATTCTCTCCCTATTCTTGTATTTATATTTTTAGCCCCAACAGAAGACGTAGCAAGTGCTGATCTTGTGTGACTTTGCTTTTTAAAGTGATACCATGCTTTTAACAATACCATACTTTTTTAATTAAACATACTCTATCTCCTGCCGGATAGTGATGGAGTAGCTTTTACTATCACTACCAGGTCTCAGGATCATATTTCCCAAAGAAGGGTTCTTCTCAAGCATCTCAGTTGCTTCTTTCCGGGACACAGTATAAAAACATCTACAGAGGTGAGACAAAAAACAGGATTTTTTTTTTAACTGATGAAGATCATAACTTGAAAAAATGCTACCAAAGTAACTCTAAGAGCTGCAGTTATTAACTTTTCTTAATTCCCAGCTTTCTTATTACAGTTACAGTGATACAATTACTGTTATTACAATTACAATTACTGCCACTATTAAATACACTTTATGCTTAAGGCCTTCCCTCTCTCATTCCCTCCAAACCTCTTTCTTTAACCAAAAAGACCTGAAAAGTTAATCTGTCAGCATGTAATCACCAGTATCATCTGAAAATCTAAGATAAGAATTAATAGTGTATCCCCAGTTCATAATCTCAGTTTATAATAAGCTCTTGGATAAATAACATTTGTTGGTGGTTTCTCTTCAGGGACACAAAGCGTTTCTTTATATGCTTCTCTTGTATGGTCTGTTTTAAATAACTGGTATTTAAGGGTGTGTCTGAATTCACTCCTTTGGGTATAATATAGCTTTCTAACGGCATTGGTGCTATTTTTATGTGTAACATTTTTAAGAAAGCACTTCCCATCTTTATAGTAAATATTGTCGCCAATGAGAAGTCTGTTTTTGTTTTTTTTTAAGATTTTTATTTATTTATTTGACAGAGAGCGAGAGAGGGAACACAAGCAGGGGGAGTGGGAGAGGGAGAAGCAGGCTTCCCGCTGAGCAGGGAGCCCTGTGCACAGCTCGATCCTGAGCCGAAGGCAGATGCTTAACGACTGAGCCACTCAGGCGCCCCAGAAAGTCTGCTTTATCAACAGAGAAAAATCTGGCAGGATAAGCAATACCCCGAAATGTTAACAGTGAATATCTCTGGTTGGACAAAGAAGGATTTAATATTCTTTTTATCTATCTGTAATAAATATGTATTACTTGTTTTATTGAGCAAAAAAGAAAAAGAAGCAGTCTTTGTGACTTTTAACCCATCAGTCCATCAGATGTCCCTGGTTTCAGCCAAGAGTGATGGTAGGCAGGTTTCAGCAATTGTGGTACAGCTAGACTCTGCGTGAGAACCTGATGTCACGGGTGGTACCCGGACAGGTTTCCCCAACAAGAAGACCACGTTTCCAGGAGGAAAGACTTCACCATCTTAGTCACACTTTCCAGTAATGGAAGAGCAAAAAATAAAGGTGTTGCTGAATTCAGCCTGTCTGTGCCTCTTCATTTCCCCAATACCACCTTACACACTTTACACAGGGCCTTCCTCAAGTACAAACTCAATGACCACTCACTGACGGGACAACTGAATAGAAAATTCAGATACTTAAAATTCTTTGGTATAATTTTCTGACAGAAAATCAGTCCATCATGGATTTTCATGGTGAAAAAAAAAACAAACATTCTTTCTACATAGCAGTTTTTATTTAGGTTTGAGCTTTGGAAAGAATATCTATTTGGTCTGAAGGTGTGGGTGGAAGGGGGTTTCCTGTGTGGTAAGAGGGTTGGTTCAAACCTGCATTTTGCATTTTGTTGATCATGACACAGAAGAGGAACTGTGGCATCAACTCAGAGATCTAATGTGACAGCTTACTGTCCCTGCTTTAATGAGGTCAGGGGCTCACTGTCTGATAACTGGAGATTAATATTAACAACCTAGTAACAAACCCCAGAGTTTGGGGTGCACTTACGCTGGCATAGGACTCAGTACATCTGCATAATCTTCAATCGGTTCCTTTTCCATAGCTGAGCTCGGGGTCCGTTCTATCTCAATCCTCCTTTTTTTCTCTCTCTCTAGGACTTCATGCAGTCGAATTACTTGCCCAGGGAGGAGGGACACGTGTAGGGGAACTGACAGCTGAAACCAATGAAAGCAGTAGGCAAACAAGAAAGACAGCTGAATGACTAACTGGTGTTAGCAACAAGGAGACCGCTGTGGTCCTCAGGGGCGCCACTTACCTGACACAGGTGGATGGATAGAATCGTGAATAGAGGATCTTGGTATCTTAAAACTGCCTCGCAACCAACCAAACAGCTTTAACCTGCGCATGGTGCCCAACCTTCCGACAAGTGTTCCTTTCAACCTGGCACACAGCAAAGTATACCTACCTTGCACTACAAGCTAATTCGAGTAACAAACCTCTCACTGTTCATGCTGAGTTCACTCGTTCTTGCTGCCAGGGAAATCCCAGAGCACCTGCAAGGTGCCCTGCTCTCCCACAGCTAACCTGGAATTAGCTCCCCCAGCCATACGACAACATGGAGTTGAGATGAACTGTTCATTAGATGACTGAGAATTGGTAGAGGTCCATATTCCAGTTTATTTGTGTGTGTATTTCAAACTGACATTCACACATTAGGATTACTATACTGCTCTACTTCGTTTTGTTCTGACCTTTTTTAGAGATGTATTTTGGATTGAGCAACCTATGCCCTCCTGATATTCATACCTCTGATATACATCTCCTTATGGCCTATTTACATGTTCTTATTAATTCCTATTGTTTCTCTCTTACACATTGCATATATATGACATTTGAAATAAAAACATAATAAGGGTATGCAATCAAAAAGTTATTCCTCTGGATAACTAAACTAATAATCACTTCAGTTATTTCCTTATATACCAATCCAGAAACAAATAATAGAATGAGGTGAAACTAATGAAAAAACTACGGCTTATTAATTGCCTATTATGTCCCAAGCATTGTGCTATCCCAAATCCTCACAGCAATACTATATTATAGGTAATGTTATTCCTACTCTACAAGTAGGAAAAAAAAAAAAAGGTTCAGAAAGATTAACTAGCCCAGGATCACACAGCTAGAAAGTGGTAGACTCAACCTCCAGTTTATTTAATTCAAAAGCAAAGTCTCTGCTCTTTCGACTACAGTCTGTGCTTCTCAAACTTCTGGTAAAATTCTAACAACAGCACGGTGGGAATATACACGGAGTGTTCAGGGAACATGGTAAAAACCAACATTTACAGAGCACAAAATTTAAGACAACTTTTCTTCTCTCGGAAATTCACATGAATTTTATTTTGTATTCTGAATATACTTACGTACATGTTAATATGAAAACAATGCTTTTTATCCTTACCTCAAAGAAAAAAACTAAAAACAGATTTTTTATGCCAAAACATCAAGTATAATTAGTGTGCCAGGAAGAGGCACCCCAAGGTTTTCCAGTGGCTTTAGTGTTCTCCTTGATAACCTTACTCACATACCCTTGGGGGACTTGGATCCCAGTGTAAGAAGTGCCATGCCACACAATGATGCTTTTCCACAACACCGAAGCAGTTTCCCAAAAAGTTTCTTCCGCTTCACAAGGCAACATGTCTTTCACATCTTTAACTGGCCCCCTTTTCTAGCCTCCTATGACTTCCCTGCACGGTAGCCAAGCCTCCAACTTTTACCTGTTATTGGCTGATATAAAGAACCAGCATCCATCATCTCGGTAAAGTGCACTGCATATTTCATATGACTGCAAAGCCTTCACTTAGGAGCTAGCATTGGACAGACTCTGTATTTAACTGACTGTAATAAACATAGAAAGTTTTCTTCTCTAAAGGTATCAGAGAACATGGTTCTTTTTTGGGGGCTGGCTCTCAAAGTCCCTCATGTTTATGACAGTTGCTGCAATAGCTTCATTTAAAATAATGGTGGAGATCCTGCTGCAACAGTTAAATGTAAGCAGTTTTGGTCTTAACTATTTGTCTCTGATAAGATGCCACAGAGTTGAACATGTAAGCATAGCTTTGTCTTAAGACTCCCTAAGCAAATGTTTGAAGGTGAATTTTCATTTTGATTGGCTCTCTGTTATATTGTTTATGTTATTCACGAAATTCATCTCTTAGCATTTTATAAATATGTATTAAATGAATAAGAAAGTAATTGGAAAATAGTTTAGAAGATGCTATGTAAGCTATAGAAATCAGCATAACAAAGGACCACGGTGTCAAAGGACAGGACCAAAAGGTAGATCTCCCTGACCACCTGTAACTCTCCAGCTAGGACAAGGCCCTGTTTACTTTCTACATAACAATATCAATATCACAATTATCTACATAACAATAACAATTTTAAATTATCTTGTTCATTTTCTTTCTTCCTTTCCATCCACCTGATAAAAATATGAATTTCACGAGTAAGTGTAAGGTTTATATCGCTCCTTTTCAATTCTTGTATTTTTGACCCCTTTCACTCTGTATGGTTCATAGCCAGTGTCCAGTAAATATTTGTTGAATTAATGAATCAATCAAAAGTAATGTCCTTCCTACCTACCTCTGTTACTGTAAGAATGAAGCCTCTCCATTCTTCCCCACTTTCTGCGTTCTCTGTCTAAAGAGGAAGACAAAAAGATAAAGACAAAGAAGAAGAGACATGAATGATTGTAAACATTAACTTCAGATAACTTTAGAATTTCGTACAGTTGTTTCATAAGTCTCAAAATGTGTAAAACCATCAAAACCCAGCAAATCTTGATTTCGGCTCAGATCATGACCTCAGGGTCATGGGATCGAGCGCCCCGTCGGCTCCCTGCTCAGCGTAGAATCTGCTTGAAATTCTCTTGCTCTCTTTCTCCCTCTCCCTCTGCCCCTCCCCCACTCATGCTTTTTCTCTCTCTCTCTCAAAATACATAAAATCTTAAAAAACAATCTTACTATACTGTACTCACCCTTCTTGTGATGATGTGAGCTGATAAAATGCCTACGTGATGAAATGAAGTGATACGTATGACATAGCCACTGTGACGGAGTGGTAGGCTACTATTGACCTTCTTATGATAGGTCGGAAGGAGGACCATCTGCTTCTGGACTGCAGTTGACTGCAGGTAACTGCAGTTGCTTTAAGCAGAGACTACGGTACTGTAACATTTTTTCTGGGAGTGCTGGGTGTACAGTGACGACTTGAACAAACAGATCTCTGCTCATGGGGAGTTTAGGTTTTTGTGAGATTAATACCGTATTTTACAAACTATGTATATCTAACACAGTTCTTCTTGGAGTTTTTCTAACTGTAACAATAATGTTCTTTATCATTTGTTTTCCTTTTCTAATACAGAATTCAATCCAGGATCACACATCACATTTAGTTGTCATACTCCAGTTTCCATGATTGGGAACAGGTATCCAGTGTTCCTTTGGCTTTTCTTACAGTGGTATTTTTGAAGACTATAAGCCAATTACTTTGCAAAATATGTCTCGATTTGTGAAATACGGGTTTGTCTAATTCAGTGGTTCCCAACATGTATCATGTTGGACGTGTCTCAGATTCATCTGGGAACTTGGTGAATGTCAATTCAAGAACAACTTTTTAAAAACACCAGATGGGATCTCTGACTTTGTGGGAGGACAAAAGTATATGGTTTCAACGTGCTTGTATACTAAACAAGGGAACATGCCCTTTCAAATCCCTATTTAGAAAACTGCAGTTTTTGGCAAAAGGCAAGAAATATTAACAAAGTACAAGACTTGGCAGCTCCTCTTAAAATTCCTCTTTTTCTCAGCCACTGGGTTGTGAAGAGGCCAATGCTATTTATAACCACAATTTGTTTCCAGCTATTGCTTCTCCTTACTCACCTTCAGTTGCACTTCCTCTTTTGGCAAAACAAGGGTGAATTTTGCACAATTCTTTTCAATTGAATTCTGGTCAGTAAGGCATGTGAGGTCTATTAGGTCTAACTTGTCAACATACTGCAGAGATAAAGGAAATCTCATTACATTATTTCACGGATAACATACATTAGGTCTGGTAGGCAGGAATATAAGTAATCTCTTCCTTTCAACTGATTTGTACCTTGCATGTTATCCCGGTTTTCAACTGGGCATCGCAACTCTTCTGAACCCAGAGGGCATTTGGAAAACATATTATGTGGCGGTGTGCTGGATGTGACTCATCGGGTTAGCAAAAGCTGATCTTTTAATTTTTAGGAATTTTGCAAGCCAGTCACTAAACACAGCTATTATTAAAAATTAAATGATATTAAGCATACAGTTATTTTAAAAACAAAGGTAATTAAATTCAAAACTCATTATTTTCTTTTCTTTTTTCCTAAAGATTGTATTTATTTATTTGACAGAGAGAGACACAGCGAGAGAGGGAACACAAGCAGGGGAGTGGGAGAGGGAGAAGCAGGATTCCAGTGGAGCAGGGAGCCCTGTGCGGGGCTCCATCCCAGGACCCTGGGATCATGACCTGAGCCAAAGGCAGACGCTTAACAACTGAGCCACCCAGGCACCCCACAAAACTCATTATTTTCTAGTTGTATTACTAAATAGTATTTACTATGCTCTTGAGGTTATTTACATCTTCATTTCTGTTTGATGGAAATACCATCTAACGGTGCATTACTGTACCTTTTTTCCCAATTCAGTGAGGTCACATTCATAGGTTGAAATCAGCTATGGTGGAAGTATTTACATCCTGGAAATCAGCAAATCTTACAAATTAGGGCTTGATTTACTCTTTAATTGTCCTAGGGGCCAGCAATTTTTTTTTTTTTTTTTCCTGCACAGGCTAGATAGTAAATGCTTCCGGCTTTGTGGACCAAATGGAGTCTCTGTTGCAAATTCCTATTGTTGTTGTTGTTTTAATAGAATACTTTAAAAATGTAAAAAATATTCTTAGCTCAGACTGTACAAATTCAGGCCACCGGTTAGATTTGGCTCAAGGGCCACAGTTTGCTCTGCTCTGGTTGAGACATAAGAAAGTGAAGGAGAAAAATGTTAATAATGCAGGTCAAACTTTAAAGTTTGTTGTGTCTGAAACTTTTTCATTGTTAACAGAACAAAAAATTGACAAAATAGAGGGTGTTCCATAATTCAGAAACTATTGTTACTCAGCAAAGAACTTGCCCATGTCATTGACAAAGAGGTGACATACATAATTATTGCTTTACTTTCCTCTTATTCCTTAATGTAAACAAAAATATCAGCCAACATTCATGTCAAATGTCATATTTAATGACAATAAATTTATTAGGGAAACAGCAGTTTGGGAAACAACTCCATCTGTCAAATCATGATTGAATTGCAATCATAGTTGGCTATGGATCCAAGTTCAGAAAAATCACTGAAAGTATTCTATGGGAATCAATTACCTATATGGAAATTACAATAAAGAATATTGTGTATTTTATTTTTTTAACTGTGTGCTACACATTCTTTTTATCAGTAATATTTATAATAGATTTATGTACATATATTCATATACACAATTTTTTCCAGAATGCTATTTGACATTTTTCACATGCCACTGGTTATGAGGATCCTATTAAGAAATTCCTATCTTATCTCAATACAATAAGAATGTAATGTATGGTGATTAACATAACATAATAAAAAAAAGAAAAATAAATAAAAAAAATTTCTTCTGAACAATTGGTATATATGGACTGGTCTGTATGCAACTGGTCTGTATGCAACTGGCTTTCTAATATTAGATCAAAACCACCTCCAGTAAGCTCAGTAGAGTTTTTATGGCATAATATTTTTTTCTGAATTAGCCTCATTCTTGACTTCTTTTTATTTTCCTCTGTTTTGCCCAACATAACTTATTTTGCTATGTTCTTGTAGGTCTCCTTATTTTATTTTTCTGAATAAAGTAAGGCATAAAAATAAGTAAGTAAATTTTTTTCCAGACCTATTCCTATGTTGATGAAGTTAAGGGTAATTTGGGTTGGCCTATTTATTTTCAGTGAACAAAGAGCAATTTAAAATGGAAGGGAAGGTATAAGGGAAGCAGGATAGAATTTCAAATTACAGAAGATCTTTTTCTGATAGATTGTCTAGATTAAGCTAAATGAATTTTGCTGAGACGAAGGAGGAAGCAACAGAGGAAGAAGTGGCCAAATTAGATAGAGTGCTATAAACTGATCTATTGCTTAGAAGAAAGGAACTTACATCTTTTTTTTGTTTTTTTTAATTGTAGTGTTGAAAAGAGCCTTAAAGGTCATCTGTCTAATCTATTGCCCTCTGATGCTTGAATCTCCTTCAGGGTATCCCTCCATATAGCCATCCTGTCTATGTTGGAATATCTCAAACAACAGGAAACTCAGGCCTCCTATGCCACTCTGCCTGCTAGCAAGCTTTTCCTCATATTAAGCCATAGTTTTTCTTCCAGAGAATTTCCATCCATTGGTCCCAGTCCCCTTTCTCTGCAATAACATGAAACAAATTCACAGGCTCTTTTACATGACCTCCTGACAGTCTTTCAAATAAAGGTAGCTTTAAATTCTTCCCAACTATCCGCCGAATATCTAGTTCTCACCTGTTCTGTCTCTGTGCTTTCTCCTGAGACTATCACCCAACACATTTCCTAAAGCCTGTACCCTCTTCTAACAAAATCGGTAGATGGACAGTTCTGCAGGATTTCATTGTAACAGTCTCTTCGTGGCACAATGGTTCAGAATGCTGGCTCAGGAGCAAGATCTGGATTATATCCCTTTCATTCACTGTCTGATCTTGCACAATTTCTGAATCCTGAAACTTGACTACCCTCATCTGTAAGTAGTGATTAAAACAGTACCCACTCTGCAGAGTTGTTTTGAGAATTAGATGAGTTTGTATATAAAATGCTTGAATGCGGGCACCTGGGTGGCTCAGTCGGTTAAGCGTCTGCCTTCGGCTCAGGTCATGATTCCAGGGTCCTGGGATCGAGTCCCACATGGGGCTTCTTGCTCAGCGGGGAGCCTGCTTCTCCGCCCCTCCCCTGGCTTGTGCACTCTCACTCTCTCTCAAATAAATAAAATTTTTAAAAATTTAAAAAAATAATAAAATGCTTGATTGCTTACTCTGTGCCAGCTACTCTCTTAAGTCCTTACCTTCACTACCTTGTTTAAACATTTTGATAACCTCATGACATGGGCTACACTTTTCATCCTAATTTTAGAGATGTGAAAATAAGCGTGTTGGACAAGATCTTTTATTTGGCCGTCTAGGTATACTTTTATCCCTTCACTGCACAGTGCTATGCACCAGGAGAGAGAGACTAATGTGGACAATATCTGACTTCCCACTGGGTGGGACCCTGGTTGACCCTGGCAGGAGATCAGAAGACTGAGGAGAGTGAGCTATTTATTATCCTATGCAATTGTTTCCTCAGTCAAAGATCATACTCTTCTCAATGCACTCACCTTCGCACACCTCTGTTCACTGTTCTCCCACTTTTTTTTCATATGCTGGACGTGATAGAAGGGTGCTTTTACTAGCCTCAGAGTTCTGTTCTACCCTTTGTGGTTTTCCTACATCCTGTCCACAGCTTTGAATATAGCATCTTCATTAAACTTTCTTCAAAAATGCCCAATTTGCGGGGTGCCTGGTTGGCTCAGTCAGTGGAGCATGAACTCTTCATCTCGGGGGTTCGAGCCCCACGTTGGGTGTAGAGATTACTTAAAAATAAAATCTTAAAAAAAAAATGCCCAATTTGAGATGTCATCTGTTTCCTACCACTTCCCTGTCTGATAGACTGAGACACAGAGAGGTTGGTAACTGGCCTGAGAACCAACAACTAACAGTGGCAGGGCCAGCGTAAACACCCAGGCAGTCAGCCTGAAGAGCAGGCTGCCGTGACTAAGCGGTACCGCCTCCTGCCAGGGAGTAAGTGAGCAGTACCTGTTTGCTCTCCTGCTTACCTGTGCTACACACGGTGTAGGCCAGGGGTTGTCACGGGTTTACTGACATCCATAGGAAGTAGGAAGGCACAACAGAAGAATTCATTTTGTTAAAATTTATTATGGTGTTTGGAAACACCTTTACACAGATCTATCCAGAACTCTGGTGAAAGATGATCATTTTAAGTGTGTTTTTTGTTTATTTTTTGAAACGACGTCTGGTGAGTTTACCACAATTGGCACTAAAATGCCTGCAGCTGGAATACATCACAAAGGCTCTTTTTCTGTTCCTTTCACTAGATCTGGACATGTAATAATGACGTTCTCAGAACTGTGGGCTACTACATCCACGGTCCAAAGTGTTTATATTTAAACAAGTGACCAGGGGCGCCTGGGTGGCTCAGCCGTTAAGTGTCTGCCTTTGGCTCAGGTCATGATCCCAGGGTCCTGGGATCGAGCCCCACATCAGGTTCCCTGCTCAGTGGGAAGCCTGCTTCTCCCTCTCCAACTCCCCCTGCTTGTGTTCCCTTTCTCGCTGTGTCTCTCTCTGTCAAATAAATAAATAAAATCTAAAAAAAAAAAATAAACAAGTGACCAGATCATAAAATCTCCTAAGGGCACTGCATTCCAAGGTAGGCAAGCATTTGGCACTAAAATGCTATTTGTGGAAAAAATGAAATACACAGTTTTCGATTTTTGTGGGAAAGGTGAAATACAAATCACTTATTTGAAATTACTACTAATAAATAGGTCTTAGAATCTCTTCATTGTTATTCTCATGCTTAAGCTCTTAGAAGTCCTCTATAGTGGGTTATGTTTTTGTCTCCCTAGGAAAATTAAATTGTGACATATGTTATAAGGCTTTGGGGGTTGTCTAGTTCTTTTCAGATCATTAGTGCATGCTAGAGCAAGGTAAAAAGCTGGGGAAATTTAGGCTATCCCTTGGCATTAAACAAGTTGTATCCAGATATCTGGCTGAAGTTCTCACATTTCGAGGCACCCCCGTGGCTCAGTCAGTTAAATGTCTGCTTTCAGCTCAGGTCATGATCTCGGGGTCCTGGGATAGAGCTCTGCGTCGGGCTCCCTGCTCAACAAGGAGTCTGCTTCTCCCTCTCCCTCGGCCCTTCCCCCCTGCTTATGCTCTCTCTCTCTCAAATAAATACATAAAATCTTTAAAAAAATAAAATAAAAATTTCACGTTTCAGCTGTTTCTATTATTGGCATCCGAAAGAAAAAAAAAATGCAAAGTTAAAGACATGAGTTTATACCTTCTTCTGAGGTGCCCTGGAAATTTTACCATAGGTCTTATACCTGATAGCTCCCACAGATATAACAAAAGTTCTTATTTGAATTGGTTTTACTAGAATATATTTACGTCGGAAGACAGAAAACCCCAAATGAATAAAACTATATGACAAGTCTATATTAGGAAAAATTCAATCAGCTGAATATGTTTTACTACTTACTGTTGGACTTTTTTTGTCAGAATAAAAGAAAAGTGTAGTTCCTCTCAACTCTGTCCAATAATGTTTATACTCCTGTGGAAAAAAAATTATAAACATTATTTCATTGGTATATATTCACCTATTTTCCTATTAATATTTTTCTTTGTAACTTTCTTAATTGCTATTTGATATAAGGTTCTTCTTTATCCTGAGATAAATCACCTAATTTTATGGCTTAATTTTACATTTAACTCTTGATTAAATCCTTTACAAATTTATTTTAGCATAAGGTGTGAGGTAAGGATGTGATTTGATTTGTGTTTAAATAGATCATTTTTCAAAACTTTCCCCATTGATTTAAGACACTTGACTTTTTATGTAGGTTTCAGTGGAAGTTTGCACCTGTAAAAGGGGTCATTTAAAGGGGCAGGATAGGACAAGCATTAAATATCTACATTCCAGAACAGTTGAAAGGATTGAATGGATTGATAAATGTAAAGCACTTAGCAGAGTACATGGCTCGTAGTTTGAGTTCTATAAATAGTATATGTTTATATAAATAAAGGCAATGTGAACAGTTCATAATCATAAAAATAATTTAACATGATCAAAACTAAACTTTGAAGTCCAAATTTCATTCATGTGGTGAATATTTCATTATTGCTACATTCACATTATTATGGGTTCTATAGAAATACAACTTTTTAAGTTTAAAAAACTTAAAATCTCATTTCACTCAAGTGAAAATTTATTTAAATAAGGGTAATTTACATTTTATATGAAGAATGGCTGTATTACGAAAGAATGGCAAGGGGATTTCGAGAATAAAATCCTTCCACATCTTAAGACTTACCTTCATACACAGCTCTTTCCAAAAGTACGTTTTTAAAAATTCCAGTTTCATAGACATGTTGATCATTCCTTCCTTTAGGGTTTAATAAGCTCAGTTTTTATACACGTTGGATTATCTTGACTTATATTGAGGATTAATATAAGGGAATTACATGAAATTTTTTTCTTTTGCTTATAAAATGTGAAGATACTTTTTATATATTATGGTATTTTGGGTCTCTTTAATACTGACATATCGTTTATCCTTTTTTTTTTTTATCCTTTTTTTTTTACCAGAAAATGTTTGTCACCTCTTCAGAATTTATATACGTCTTTTCTCAAATAATGGGAACTCTACAGCCCATCTTGTTTTTATTTGCCTTGGCTCCCGGAAGCTCAAGATTAAATTCATTTTGAATTAAAACAACCATCTTTCTCATGTTCTTAGTAGAACTACTTTCTCCCTTTCTCTTCATGCCTGATAAGGTGCTATTTTAGTTAGCTTTTACTGTGTAACACGCAGCCCTAAAACTTAGCGGACTAAAATAGGAAACATTTTCTATTTCCCATCATGCTGATGCTGGTGATGATTCTTTGGGCATACTTCCCTGTGGCGGGTCTAGGGTGGCCTCACTCACTTGCCTGGGGTCTTAGCTGGGAATGCAGAACTGAGAGTGATACAATCAGAAACATATTTGGTCTTTTTCCCCAGTTCCTGGCATAGAGAGCCTAAAACTCGGAATTTCCTGAGGGACAGGAGTGTTTTTATTATTCACAATGAGCCCCTTTACATAATACCTGAGTTTATACTAATGAGGTGACTTCAGATGGGACCCCTGGTAGCTTCAGGCTAGGTCTGGTGGCCAGAAGAACAACTGATTAATGGGTTGGAATTTTCAGCCCCACCCACCAAACTCTAGGCAAAAAGGGGGGTGGGCTGGGAGATTTAAGTTTCATAAAAACTCTTGAACAACGTGATTTGATGAGATTCCTAATTGGTGAACACATCCACATCCTGGGAGGGTAGTGCGGCCCGACTCAATAGAGACAGAAGCATGAGTGCTTGGGACCCTTCCAGACCTTGCCCTAAGTACCTCTTCATCTGCCTGTTCTTTTGTATCCCTTACCAGTAAATATAAGTAAAGTGTCTTCCTGAGTGCTGTGGGCTATTCTAGTAAATTATCAGATCTTAGGAAGGGGTCATGGGAATTCTTTTTTTTTTTCCTTAAGATTTATTTATTTATTTTATAGAGCAAGAGAGCCAGCAGGGGGAGGGGCACAGGAAGAGGGAAAGACAGAATCCCAAGCAGACTCCCTGCCAAGCATGGAGCCCAACTCAGGGCTCCATCTCACAACCCTGAGGTCATGACCAGAGCCAAAATCAAGAGCTGGACATTTAACTGACTGAGCCATTCAGGTGCCCCAGGAACTCTTGATTTATAGTGAATTGATCAGAAGTATGGGAGGCCTGGAACTTAAAATTGGTGACTGAAGTGGAGGGCAGCCCTGTGGGACTGAGCCCTTAATTAAGCCATGGGGTCTGCACTATGTCTGGATAGGTAGCGTCAGAATTGAGCTGAATTGTTGAACACCTACTTGGTGTCCAGAGAATCAGAGAAGTGATTGTTGGTGTTGGAAAATCCCCCACTGAGACAACTGGAGTCTCACTCCATAGGGTCTTGTCTCCAGTCAGGTAACCTAGACTTGTCCACATGCTAGCGGAAGGATTCCCAGGAACAGGAGAGGGCAAGGTCCAATGTGTGAGTACTTTCTAATGTGCTTTTGTCACGTTCACCAAAGCATGGCCCAGCCCAGATTTCGAGGGGTAGAAAAATAAATGCAATCTCTTGATGGAAGAGCAGAAAAGTCACATTTCAAGGGAAGATGCATACAGTGAGGCTTGAACAAACTGGTAGTACTGTAGTGATCTACCTTAGGGACAGAGCTGGAACGTGGCACAGGTTTCTTCATCCAGGACCTGTGGTCTTTCCACAACATCCTACCTCCTAATTGACAGTTGGCTATAATGTAATGTATGGAACCTGCTGATGCCTCCTGAGCCAAGAACAAATTAACAAAGGCCAACTCTAAGGGGCATAAGATTGAAGGATCAGCCAATAGATGGCCCCCAAAGGAGCAATTATGAAACTGGGCAAATAAATTCTTCCTCTTATCTGAAATCCAGATACCCAGTATTTACCCGACACATCTCAGAGTCAAGCAGTTTAATAAGACCAGAAAACAAACCTTGCCTTCAGCCCCATCAGAAATCTTTTATTTCCCTCTTTTCATATACAAAGTGTTTGTTGTTGGCATTGCGGTAGCACTTTGCCTGGTTTTTCTGCTGCCTTTTTATGCCCTCTGATCTACCCTGCACAGTGCAAGAGAGTGAATTATCTCCTCTGCAGACAGTAGGACTGACCTAGGTTGGAGACAATATGCTCAACTTAACCCCTGTCTATCCTCTCTCTGCTCAGCCTACTGGGAGGGAGTGGGCGATCTTCTCTGGTCCTGCCATGTGGCAAAGGACCTCCAAGAGGGGCAGCATTATGGCTCTTAAACTGAGTCAGTGAGTGACTCAAGGTAGCTCAAGCCTACCTAAATCTGGGGTAAAGTGTTAGCATTGTTTTGGCCGTAAATCTAAACCACATATCGATAGATTTTATTGATGGTAAAAGTACCTAACTGATCTTTGTGGGATTCCTCTGTCTTAATTTTTAGTTGGCTTCATACTTGGGAGACAAAAAAAAAAGTCCCCACAAATGGATATAAAAATCTACAGAGCAGGGGAAGTGGGAATAACTGCTAATGGGGTTCCTTTTTAGCATGATGAAAATGTTCTAGAACTAGATTGTGGTAATGTTGTGCAACTTTGTGAATGTATTAAAAGTCCTGAATTATAAAGGTGATGATGATGGTGACGACTGTGTCCCCTATATGAGGGTGCACTGTTAACGGACCAAGAATAGAGGGAGGCACCAGCCTCCTGCTCTTGCTTCTTAGAGTTGTTTAAGGATTAAATGGAATAATGCTGTATATAAAGTACATAGGACCTGGGATTTAGCAAGTGTTCCATAAATGTTGGCCACTTAAAAAAAAAAAAAATTGTCTCATCACTCACATTATTAACAGGTACTTTGCATTTTAAATTATCCATATATTTTTTGCACAATGGTGATTTTATGTGTGTATGTGACGGTGGTGGCATCTAAAAATCTCCAAAATAGATCTTTTTCAATGGGATTATATATGAGAAAGGGAGGATATTTTGTGAGCCAGGATAATGAAACCCATTGCCATTCACAAATAGTATGAAAGTGTGCTTTCATATTGTCTTAAAGAGAGAAATAGAAAACTACATTGAGAAATTCGGCTTGAGAAGTTGCTAATATATATACTGTCTCTATGATCAGTCAGATGTTCTGTAAAACCCATAAGAGCATCTAGTTACTCTGTTGAAAAATACTTGAATTTTCTCAGGTTTGACTTTCTTTTCTTTTTTTTTTTTTAAAGAATTTATTTATTCATTTGACAGAGAGAGAGAGCACAAGCAGGGGGGGCGGCAGGCAGCGGGAGAGGGAGAAGCAGGCTCCCCACTGAACAAGGGGCCCGATGTGGGACTCAATCCCAGGACTCTGGGATCATCATCTGAGCCGAAGGCAGATGCTTAACCGACTGAGCCACCCAGGCGCCCCAATTATCAGGTTTGACTTTTTTTTTTAATATTTTATTTATTTATTTGACAGAGAGAGACACAGCGAGAGAGGGAACACAAGCAGGGGGAGTGGGAGAGGGAGAAGCAGGCTCCCCACTGAGCAAGGAGCCCCATGTGGGACTCAATCCCAGAACCCCGGGATCATGACCCGAGCCGAAGGCAGACGCCCAAGGACTGAGCCACCCAGGCGCCCCAGGTTTGACTTTCTTTCTTTCTTTTTTTTTTTAAAGATTTTATTTATTTTATTTTGACAGGGAGAGAGAGAGAGAGCACAAGTAGGCAGAGTGGCAGGCAGAGGGAGAGGGAGAAGCAGACTCCCCTCTAAGCAGAAAGCCAGACATGGGGCTCCATCCCAGGACTCTGGGATCACGACCCGAGTTGAAGGCAGACTCTCAACGGACTGAGCCAGGCGCCCCTTGACTTTCGATTAATAATAAAACAATTCAAATTTGAGGAGGGAAGCTTTTTTTAAAAATCATATTTCTTTTTAAGGCTTTCACATTCTGCTCTAGTGATAAGCCTCTGCAATGCAAGGAGCAAGTCAAAG